AAGTGGCATTATACAGATTTACAGGGAAACAGTTCCACATTCAGTCGGCCCCATATAAATATGTAAAAGAAAGTTCTTTTTAACCAACTTTAAAAAATCAGGAGGTTAGAAATTCTACTCACTTTTTTTAATTTTTGTTACCTCAGTCTACCTACATTTATGGAGCGTAGAAAATTATGTTTTTATCTGGGTTTGGTGCCATTCAAATTTGAAGAAAATACCATTTAAGATATGATATCGTAACAGTAAGATGGTCGATATATTATTTTCTAAATTTTCAAACAGCATCAAAGGCTCCCTAGTTTAATTGACTCAATAGAAACTTCTTAATTTGCGTAAAGTTTTTGATTGGGGGTAGTTCAATATTCATTAACAGGGTCAATTGAAGCATCCATGCCTCGGAGCACGTAAAGCCAGTCCCGGTTGGAATACGAACTTTGTCACGGCTAGTTGGAGCCCTTAAAAGCCCGACAACAGTCTTACTACAGAACTTCGATATCGCCTGGTACTTAGGTTGTGGAGGTCTGATGGCAATCGTTCCACGTATAAAATCGAAGTTCAGCATCATGTTCAGTATCATGTTAGACTTAAAAGTCGTTCCTAACCTAGATCGGGAAAAAGACTCGGAGGAAGAAGCTCTATTGGGCATTTTCCAAATCATGGTGGTCGGTTTGAGGAGATTTTTACCAGCTGGGTTAAGGGTCTTATTTACTCTTATTTACTAAAAGCTTTTATAGTGGTACAATGAAAATACTTACTCAATTAAATGGCTGAACCCACTCGTCCACAGTTCATTATTTAATAACATCCCAATTATTATTAAATAATGAACTGTTTTTTAAAAAATAAAGTTATATTTTATTTATTTATTATCGGTAAAAATTAACATTTACTCACAACGATTGCTGACTGACTCGAATAGTTCTATAAAGCCTACGGGAAAAATATAGTTAAAATGTGCCTTTCTATATAATAGTCACCAGACCTTGCACCTACCGACTATTACTTTTTCCAAAATTTAGAAAACTTTTTAGTGGGTAAAAAATTCAATTCCCGAGAGGCAGTACAAAATGCCTTTGAAGAGTTTGTTGCCTCTCGTCCAGCTGATTTTTACAAGAAGGGCATCAATAAACTGCCAATGTGTTGGCAAAGATGCGTCGATTGCATGGGTGATTACTTCGAATAACAGAAATAAAAAAGATTGAAAAAATAAGTACTTTCACTCATTGCATACAAAACGGCAATTTCATAGGTTCTAAAATCTATCTTTCTAAATCTGAAACTAGACTTGTAAAACATCTAAAAAGATTTACTTACAGAAATAAATATCATTTATCATTTTAACTTTATAAATCGAAGAATGTGAAACGTGAACTTAATAATGAGCAGATTGAAAGATTTGTAAAGTTCATCATATATGCTTGAATCGACGCACTGTTACTTTGACTAAGTAACTACACAGTTATATAAGTTCAACTAAAGCACTGTTCACCTGTAAACGCATCCCTGGATGATTTGGTAATATTTGGTTTAAGTTATCCGTAATAGTATCGGATATGTTTGTTAGTTTCCAGTTAAGTAGTATTTAGTTTTCCAGAAAGTTTTGAGACTAGTTGCATTTTCAACTAGTGTCAAAGGTTACCAGAGACCGGAGAAAAAATCTTTCTCTTCCCTCTCTCTAATTCTGGTAGAAGCTCTCAATTACAGACGGTATACACTTATCATCAGATTACCCGTTTGCTTGTTTAGCACTTATATTGTAAAAGAAACTAGTAGGTACTAGTACGAATGGGCACGCCGTCATTGCGGCGGTAAGACCCGTTATGGAGGATTGGCTCGAGAGGCGTCACGGGACCCTCTCATACCGATTGACGCAGGTGATCACTGGGAAGGGATGTTTCGGAGATCATCTGTGTCTGATCCGCAAGGAGCCAACGCCTGAGTGCCACCACTGCGATGGCCAGACCGTGGACACGGCTCTCCACACGCTGGCAGAGTGCCCGGCGTGGGTTGAGCAGAGGCGAGACCTCGTGGCGGCCATCGGAGTGGGAGTTCTCTCGCTCGATAGCCTGATTGCGGCTATCGTGCGGAGCGAGAGTGCGTGGAACTCTGCCGTCTCCTTCTGCGAGCAAGTTATGCTCGCGAAGGAGACGGCGGAGCGGGACCGGGAGAGGTTTAGAACTCTCCCGGCCCGCCAGGCCCGGGCACGGGCCAGGCAGCGCAGGCGACTCAGGCGCCGGAGGTCGCAGAACGACCTCCGTCCTCCATAAGCGCAGGCCTGGGGGTGACAGGTGAGGCCATCTGTCACCCTAGCAGAAGCAGGCCGGGGTGGCGGCGAGCGCGTTGCGAAGCGCGCTCGCTTCCAGGGAGCACAGGGAACATGGGGTTCCCACATGGGGCGGGGGTCGTCTACTCGTCTGTAGATGACCCGAGGTATGTCGGGGCACCAGGGCCTTCCTTTCTAGGGTATACCTGGTTCCCCGGCTATTAGTACCCGGCGAAGGCGTGCGGTTTTAGTCGGTTCGACTTGCCACCGACAGGTGGTATCCGAGGGGATTTCCACACGGAAAAAAAAAAAAAAAAAAAAAGGAACTAGTACGAAAACGATCACAACCGAATTTTCTGAAACTCGCCAAGACAACATCGGGACAAATGTTGAGGAACTTATTTCAGCATAAACAATAACCAGAACAGGAAAACCTATTTATAAGACACTTTGATATCTGGCCTTAAATCTAACGTCAAACACATTTTGATGAGAAAACAAACATTGTCTGAGTCTTATGTCACTAAAATGTCAAGGAAGCAAAATTTTCTTCTGTAACCTTTAATTATTTAATAACGCACAAAAGCTTAATGAAGCACAGTTACTGTTGGAAAATGACACCTCGTTACATTTGGTTAGTAACAATACTATATTACTATTTTAGAGTGTGTGTGTAAAGTGTAGGCAGACAGTAAGCGGTTGAGTGAGCAGACAGTTCCGTGTGACATATTCTACAATAAACATACAACCACGTTCCGCCCATTGTCTGTCCTAGCCTTTAATCTAACTATTAGAATATTGATCCCTAAATCTGATGAAGAATATGAAATGATGGATTCGAACCTTAGGCAGCGCTATTGTTGTGTTGTGCAAACCTCAGTTGAATCCTGGTTTTAGGAACTGTTATCAGGTAGAGGTAAGTAGAGAGATTTAGCTTGAATGGTTTTATAACAGCTTAAATAACCTAATCTGAAAATTATTAATTTAAATCTTTTCAATCATAGGCCATGAACCTCCGATTAAGATGTAAAATGATTTTCTTGATTTTAACTTGTTTCTCCCGTATAACATAAAAAATAACGGTTTGGGTTTATAGGTAATTTGCAGATACATTATGGTATAAGTAGGTGAGAGATAAGTCAAATGGGTGAATATTTTTAAAGAAGTTGACGCCACGTCATTGAAATTTAATTATTCTTCTTTCTTTGTCTTTCATTCTTCATTTTAAAAATGTTTTATTCTGTATGTTTTAACTTTAGAGAAATTATCTAATTTAAAAGTTGGATGAAAAGGCAATTTCATCCAACTTTTCTATAATATAATTTCTATAGTGTAGTGCTCCATTTTTACATCATTACTCATAAATACACACATACCAAAATATATACATAAATATATATTTATATACATGATAATAAACAGTTTACTCTTGTTTTGAAGTTCGAGGACAGGCCTGGAAAGGTCTTAGTAAAAACATTGGAAATATTTTTATCAGACCTGTTGACACACTAAAAACTACGCCTTTGAAATATCCTGCGAAGGCTGTCTAACACTAAAGGAAGATATTGTTAAAACAAATAATATATATATATAATATTTTGTTTAGTTACCTTACAGTCAAACCGCCGTAAGCTTGGCCCTCCGGTGGTTTGCGTAACGCGGGGCGGGTGATGCGATCTTTAGAATTATTTGTTAGAGATTTAATCTACACACGATGTAATAAAATTCATTGCAGTATATTCTAAGATTTTATGAATAATTGTAAAATTTTGTAAATGTAAATTATATTCAGATACAATTGAATAATGAAGTAAAATAATAAATATTCTTAATTAGAATTTTAAACAGTAGAACCACTGTGAACGCCTTCAAGCGAACTGCCGAACTTTAAGGGAGACGCCTAATTATTCGAGTTATAGAGTTTTAGTAAGAAAGTAGTAGAGATTTTGTAAGAAAATATTCGACTTATAAAAGTTTAGATTCTTTCTTTCACCAATTTTTTTAATGATATTTGATTCGTTTTGAATATTTTTAACAGAGTACTTACTTTTTGGTAGGCCTAGTTTTTAGGCTTGGTATAGATTTTGTTTCAAGTTTCTTTCTCTTTGCAGTGCAGTGCCAACTAAGGTAGCAAACTATGCAGGACAACAGGTCCTGCATAGTTTGCTCCCTTAGTTGGCTCTTACGACACCCACGAGATGAAAAGGGGTTGTGATACTCCGTATTCTAGTCTATCACCACAAATATAATCAACAACTTCTACTGTGTATTAATCAAGTAACTTAAAATAGAAAACAAAAGGAAACGATTATTAAAAAAATGAAAATTAATCCAAATGTTCATGAATTATTTTGTGACGCAGATTCGGCAGATTATGCATGTTAGAAAATAATACCGTGTGAAGTGTGTAGTCTTAAAAAAAACACATTCACGCCATGCTTTCACGTCAGTCGCTGCGGCGGACAGCGACACATTGGTTGAGCGTACCCCCGCCCCACGTCCCGCAAACCATCGGGAGTTTGACTATAGTTAGATAATAACTACAAGTACAAAATTAGGTAAACTGCATAAATATTTTGATGTATTTACTGGCGATCAAAGTTTATTAACAGAGACTTCCTAAAGAAACTAAGACTTGGTAAAAGATAAATAGTTAGAATTATATACAGAAAAAGAAAGTTACAAAGATGAATAGAATACTAACATTTTTGCTTACAGAGGAGAAACGAAGAGTATGAAGGACATGGGCAAAAAAACAGAAGATAAATTAAAAGTCATATTCAAGACGTCGTTGACTACCTTATGTACACATTCAAAGACATGTTCTGGTATTTCACAATTAAGTACAAAGAGTGGCATATTAAGAATACAGAAGAGTTTAAGAAAAAAACACAGTTACTATGTAGACACAAGAGGCAAAGTCAAAAGAGACTTCAGTGTTGAAACTGATATTTGCGTTCTCAGGAGATTTTGCAGACGAAAACTGAATATGACTTCTAACCTAGGAAGTTCTGCCAAATCCAGATACTCTGCCGTGGATACAGATGTTGAAACTATTGAAGAATTTCCGGATGCTAGTGCTTGTGGGGATAACGAAATAATTGAGATACGAAGTAATTACCCAACAAATCTGGAATGTCTTATGGTAGATAACTTAAAGAACTTGCTTGGGCAATGGATCGAAAAACATTTGAAATCTAAGAAGGATACAAGACAGAAACTGGATAAGGTCTTTGATTGTATCCTACGCAAGTTAAATGACAAAAGTGAACAAGAACTATCGTCAGATACTACATATGTGATTCATAAAGTAGCACAAAATCAAGAAGTCAAAAACAAAAAGATTGCTACCTCTTTCTCTTGTCAATATTGTAAACATAAATCTTGTCGAAAAGTGGTCACGTCAACAAGCAGTCAAAAGGATTCTTCTTCTGCTCCTATCCCTGGCCCTAATAAGGACATGAGAATAATTTCTACCCTAAGCATCCCAAGAACATTTAATAAACGGGGACTAGATGGCCAAAAAAAGCATACTAGTTCTTGTAAACTTGGAAAAATTAGACGCAATAATGTCATCCTTTCTATAGACAAATTTAATAAATTAATAGACACGACCAGTTTTAATTTATTGGCCGTTTCAACGAAATCTCTTGAAAACAGATTTCAAAATTGTAAAAATAAGAAACACATTATATTTTATCCAAAGCCATTTTATAAAAGTGCAACCTGTAGTGCAAATATAATAAAATCCGAAAATGGTATGGTAAACAACCTTGATTCTAAAAAATATCAGTTAGAGACATTGCCTAGCATCTTAAGAAACCTTTACAAGAATGAATCTATAAGAGTCGATTCTAGCGTAGATAAAAATGTCCAATTCGATACCAAAACTGATAATTTTACTATGACTGATGGTACTTCTAGAGAAATGATTACTACAGATTTAATAGAAGAAAATACCAGTGCAGACATTCAGAGAAAATATAATGCAGTACCAACATGTAATTATAAAAATATTAATTGTTTAACCATTAACAAAACTACACACACAAGTACTTCACACATGAAATTACTAAATAAAAATTCTAAAAAACGAGGAAAAGTCAACAAGCGTCGGAGGCAAATTTTTGGAAATAAAATATCACCCAATATTTCAAAACTAAGCAATTTGGATAGTAAGCACTTTACATTTATGTATGAAACAGCGACTAAGCAAATTCTCCAAGGACAAGATCTCCTTAACTATTGGCAGAGTTTATTTCAATATTTTAATCAAAATAATACCAATAAAAAAATTAAAGTAGATATTCACATAAGCTTGTCTCCTAAGAGTGAATATGAAACTAAAGACACATGTACAGATATAAGTAATGAGCCTAGCAGTTTTTATGAAGAAGTAAAAGGCGATGCTACCCTACTTTACAATGTGAAACCGGAAACGGAACCATCACATATGCCACCTATCGTAATAAATTCGCAGTTAGGAACCGGAAGTGATATAAAATTTCCCACAAAATACGTTCCCGAAATAATACCTCTACTTGATGGAGCTGTTAGTCAAGCAAAATACATTCTCGATGCCAGTTCTAGAGAAAAAGTAGAAATCAAATCAAATTTGTGTGTAGATCGTGGCATGATGACGAATGAAGTAGAAATTTTACAAGAAATAAATGAACTTAAATTAGTTATAAAAGATTTAGCTATGACAACCGAGAAACTCGTAAGTAAACAAATGAGAAAAGACTCTGGTAAATCTAATATATATGCTTCACTTAATCCTAGTTACAACTACACTTCAAGTTCTAGATGTGAAGCAGTAATCAATTTGATTAATCTATCGAAAGCGATCCAGGTCGGCGAAGAGTTGCAAAAAAATCAAATAAAATCAGACAGTGAAGGTTCAAAACTAAAAGATACCCTTGAATACTACAATAGGTTAACAAAAAAGAGTACTTCTTTTCGCATTATAGACAGTGAATCGTTGCTCAGAGTGACTGACATGACATCTAAAGGTAATGAAATAAACAAATTTAATCGCCAATTTACTGATGAAGCATTAATGTGCGCAATACCTAAATCTTTATCATTATTTGACTTACCTTCTGAAAGAAACAAAAAACTCATCGCTTTCTTTTGTGATAATTGTGTTAAACCGAAAGTTAGCTACCGTAACTCAGGTCGCAATCCAGGTCGCAAAATGATTTCTCGACCTAAGTCAAGCAAATCATTATCAAAAAAGAAAAAATGGCACTTCTGGGGTGGCACACCAAAAAATAATGACATTTGTTGTCCTCGTTCAACAAGCGGAACCTCATGCGTCATACCAATAAGTAATTTGGGATATAGCACCACATCGAGTTGTTGTTCAGAAAACAGTATGGTTAACGATGAAGAGCTGGGTAAACCCTGCAAAGTGACTAGAGGGATGGGTTTTGGCGAAGGTTGTATGTATTGTATGCTGTTATGGATCCCTGTTCTTATATTAGGTTGCTTATTTTACTCGCATGTTTTGAAAAATTATGTAGTATCGCAGGATAAAGTAATGTATGGAAAAAGAACTTCAAAAGCAGAATCCATCCCAAATTCCACAGTGGTTTATCTTAAACTCTCTGACTTAGGCTTTTGATTTTTGTATTATATTTGTTAATATTGTTTATTATTTTGAAATAAAGAAATATAATAGTAAAATACTTTTCCTATTATTGTATTGTAGAAACCATTTTCTTTTCGTTCTCCTGAATTTTCGACTAAAGTTACACCTGTATTATTTAATGTTTGTTTCAGATATTTCTAGAACCAAATCATATAAGGAATGGATAACACAAAAGAACCAGTGAAAAAACTGAAAAGGCCTAAATCGGCGACGAGATATCCTAAGAGGACAAATACATATGTTGTGGCTTTTGCTTTACAAGAACCGTCTGTTGAAAATATACCAAAAACAATAGCAGAAAGTAAACGTATCCCGGATCATGGCAAAACTAGTAATGAATCCATATCAGTTACTGGCTCTGCCACTTTTACTGAGACTTTGAGTATATCCTCGACAAATGATCTTTCTCACTCGCTAATGGTACCGACTATTAGTGAAGTTAACATTGATATGCTTGATGGTAACCAATGTAGCGATACAGAAAAGAAGTCCCCTGAAACAAATAACTACCAAGAAGTTGATAATAAAATGGTGGACGAACAGCCACAAATAATATTTAAGGCATCAAAAAATATAAAAAGATGTAAAGAACATCGCCAATCTTTAAGAAAAAAACCTAAGAGTTATAGGCGTGTCATAAAATTTAAGAGTATCCATTTTAAATATAAGAATTCGAAAAATGTAATTACTAGGATACTAGAAAAAAAAATTTTAAAAGCAAAGATGAATACTATAAATTCAGAACCGGTTAATACTAAATCCAAAGTTATTTCAAGATCAAGGATTCTAAAAAGTCTATTGGCAAAAGAAAATCTACTTGCTGGTACAGACCCAATGTGGATGTTAGATATGCCTAGTTTAAATGAAAACCGTACTTTGTCTCCGAATACTGAGACCTTATGTACACCAAGTGTTTTGTCAAGTTACGGTAGTCAAAATACATTAGTTAACGACACCTCCTTTTCATTTCAAAGTGATGATCTTTATAGCATCAAAACAGTTAATTCAGTAGTTCCGATATCATCTGATACAACACCATATAATACTGATTTAAACATTGCCGTAGCAGTAGGTTTCACTTCATTAAAACCAAATAATGGTCAAAGCGAGTCTACGATTCCTAGCAACGAAAAATCAAGTGATAAAGGTAACGTGACAAGTACTGATACAATGCCATTATCTGGTATGGAACTTACATCCCAAGTACCTTCCGATGATAGTGCAAATAAAACATTTACAGAGGATTTAATATTAAATGAGAAATATATGAGCAGTGAAACGCTCGCTGGACTAGAGAAAATTTCATCGAATATAGTAAGCGATGACGATACTTTTGTAATGGGTAGAACAATTTCTGATTTTGATAAATCAGGTAATTGTTCTGAATCTGAATTAACGTCTATATCTGAAACAAGGCCAAAATCAGAATACGTAGCAGCAAAAGAAATCATAAATCATGTTTCCCAAAAAGTGACATTATTAGATACCGTTGTACATTTAGGATTAGGATTATATCCTGAAATGACACCATCAACTAGTTCTGGAGCCAATTTTGACAATAGTATGGATGATGTTCTTTGTCAGGTTAACAAAGACAGTTTAACAATTCAAAACCAATTATCTAAAAATGTGTTAAAAAAGAGTTTTGAAATTGAAACTAAAGAGATACATAACAACATCAGTCTACCAAATGAGGTGGCAATTAAAGCTATTCTTAAAGATGCCGAAAAATCGCAGAAAAAAACACACGAAGAGTTAAAAGATAAAAATCTGCCATTGGATATGATAGAAATATGGAACCGACTGTCTTTAGTTTTAGATTTAGCTATAAAAAGATTAGAGGAGACGATAACAGAGAACATAATAAGAGAAATAAAAAAATCATTGTCAAGCATTGCAACGAAGAACACAGATGAAACGGACGAGTCGCTTTTTAAAAGTAAAGGAATAAAAACGTGTGATGTAATAATGTCTAATAAAGAAGTTTTTGCTAATGAAGAAAATTTAAGAAATGAAAATCATCAAGGTCACCAATGCGACTTAGTGCAAAATCATATTATTGATCAGTTAATGCTCAAGCTTAGCGTAGAAGGTCCCAAGACGTTGAACAATTCCCAAATCTCTTTAAAGTCTTTAAAGAAGCCTCAGGTTATTCGTGATTATTTTGATATTATAAAACAACCTACAGATGAATGTGATGTGGAAGTTGGTAAGGGTGACACGGTGACTGTATCTACTGCTACAGTACAAGGTCCACCAAAAAAGTATGCAAGCCGTGAAGGTTTTAGTTCATTAATTTCGAGTCCGTTCTATTTTCTTAGGGAAAATCTATTAGTAATAACAAGTATTCCTACTTTTTTCTTAATTCTGTTCTGTCTGTATGGGATCATAACACTTATTAAACCGTGGTAAAATTGTCATGTCAAAGTTTAGATTGTTTCAGTATTCTTTTGTCTTTGTATTGTTTTAAATAAACAAATCCAATAAAGTTTAATTTTTGTTTTTGTTTTTATTCAATAATACTGAAGCAAAGCATTATTTCATATACTTCTAGGAAAGATACATCATGATAAAAAAAAACTTGCTATAAATACATTTTTCATGCAAAACATTCTCTCGCTTTCTTGCAATCTATAGGAGTGATTTAAATTCAAGTGATTTTGTGAAAACAGACGAAAGTGTGTGTGAAAGGTGGGGAAAACACAGGATTGACCATCAAATGCTGCACATCATATGCACAAGGATATCAACTGCGACATGGGGTCTATCATTTAATACATTAAAGATCATATACGGAGCTACTTATTTAGGTTCTATGTGCTATGGTGCACCTGTATGGGCCGATAGGGCGACCGTAGGTGCTGTCCGTCGCAAACTGTTACAAGGCCAACGACTTGCACTGATATTCTTGTGTAAGGCATATAGGACGGTTAGCACTGAGGCTTTGCCGGTGTTGGCGGGTGTGCTTCCGGTCGATCTCGAGGTGCAGAGACGTGCAGCCATGTACTATTCAAGACAACAAAACATGGAATGCGATTTTTTGGGCGCGCGGGATCGCGGTAAAATTACAAGATTGCTTCAACAGCAGCCCGATGTCTATAACGACCTCATAGACGAATGGCAACAACGCTGGGATGAATCATCCAAGGGGCGCCATCTTTACCAATTCTTTCCATCTGTTCGCGAACGGTTGTCGAGGATATGGCTTGAGGTGGATCACTGTGTCGCTCAATTTCTTACGGGTCATGGTAACTTTAAGAGCAAGCTTTATTCATTTAAATTAGTCGAGTCACCATTGTGTCAATGCTCAACACCTAACTCTCACTATGAACAGTCTGCTCATCATATCCTCTGGGAATGTAGTCTTTGGTATAATGAACGTAATATAATGCTGAATAGCTTGCAGGTGACATCTGGGGCGGTATACTATGGGGATCTTGTGTCAACTAGGGTGAATTTCCGTGCGTTTAGGCGATTCTGCCATACATATTATAGAAATCAAACATAGCTCACGTAGGACCCGTAATATTTGTGGCCGTGGTGCTTCCCTGTTTAAAAGGGTGTATGCCCATTTTTACTTCATTTTGTCTCCCGCTTTGCTAAGGAGGGAAGTGGATTTACTGTATTTCCAACTCCTCCAATTTTCTTCTGATTAATTTCGTTGCGGGTTCCAAGACAGTTTAATTTCTTCCTGGGACTTCCCGAGTGTCATAACTCGGTGTGTTCGTGGGTCACTGCTGTGGATCCTGGTGTACAGGAGTTACAGTGGTGGGCGTGTGGGTGGGATTAGTCCTGCACATCATATGCGACATTATAAAGATCGCTCTTTTAAAAAAAAAAAGACATTACATTATCGTCATCATGACGACTGGATGATCAGCACGACAGATGTCGCAGCATGACCGGGTTTAGCTAGTTAGATAAAGATAGAAAATACTGAAGTAGTATTAAAGAGAAGGTGTATGACAATTTTTAAGTAACCCATTTCACTACTAGTTAGTAGTGCAGAAGGAAAATATTCCCCATGACACTACTGGTACTGTATTCTGGTAGTGCAATGGGTCAAAAGAATGTATGACCGTTCCTTAATTACCCACGACACCACTGGTTAATAGTGTAGAAGGGAAAAAAAATCCCCATGATACTACTGGTTCTGTAATTTGGTAGTGTGATGGGTCAGAAGGGAACATTTCAGTCACTTTTGTAGAATTTTACGTATACCTACATTTTACGACATGAAATTACCATAGGTATGCTAAACCAAAAAATAGGTGTGATTAGATTAAAAAGATTCCAAAACATTATATTCTGACTTTAATTTAAATGTTATTTATTACAGTTCTGATACATCGGTCCATTAATTTCTTAGTGCTTATTGTCCTTGCGCCAAAACGAGGTGACCAGATTTATCCAATGTGAAGATGGGACGCAATCGGTTCCTCCTGTAAAGATACCAATATAAAATACATGTGCTTCAGATAAAGGCAATCATGGTAAGACCACAACTCACTACGGGTTGAGATCTTTCCAACAGACCTTTCCAGAATTCAATTAAAACAACGCAGATTTTGTTAATTAATAAACACCTAACAAATATCTTAAAACAATAAAACAAGGTCAAAACATGATTAGATTTTTGAAATAGTTATTTTCTAACTCCTAAATGGTTAAGGATCCTTCCATCATCAGCTCAGCAACATGATATAACGACTACTTTACGCAAATACGAGTACCTACAAAGCTAGTGAAAAAGCTTAAACACGTTGTCGGGGCTGTAAAATTTGAGGGTTGCCCTCGATTTCTCTAGGATTCCATCATCATATCCTGATTTGGTAGTAACAAACGCGATATATCCGTCAATTGTGGACCGATTTTCACATACAACAGAAAATACAGACGAATTATAACCTCCTTTTTTTGTTTTTGAAGTTGATTATTGAAAAAATACCTGAGCTTGGCGCTCTTCTTTCTGGTTCCATCAGCAATAGCAACTGCATGGGCGACAACAGGTCCTTCGTCAGTCACTTCCTGAAGCAGAAATTATGATATCTAATACCTTTCAACGAGCAATTCTTGTATACATGTATAAATATAATCTGGTTCTCGGAAACGGCTTCAACGATTTTCATGAAATTTAGTATACAGGGGGTTTCAGGGGCGATTAGTCGATCTAACTAGGTTTCATTTTTAGAAAATTTACAAAAAAAAACCGGTCATACATTTACTATAAAATAAAGTGAGACGAATTCTGTCTTGGGACTGAATCGTTATTCTCTGAGAGTACCTACCTTGAAAAGGCACATTATTTTTTTATTTTATTTAATAGGTACAGTAATAGAGAACAGATCAGAACATACACAATTATGTTGACAATATACAAGACTTAAATCTAAAGTCCAATTATAACTATACACAATATTCTATTACAAACCTTTTATTAAAAGCTTAGGCAATTGAGTTAATAAGAACAATATGTGAACCACAGTAATAAAAGACTTGGTATGACTTCGTATAACTATGTTTAAAAATTCCAGTAACTTTATGGTGTATCGAGCACAGATCAGAGTTTATTATTGCACTTTGTATTTCTATTTGATTAAACTAGTATTTTTACCAATGAGTAATACTCATTGGTCCAATTAAATATCGCTTTCTATCATACATTCATACGAAATCATTCTCACAGATTACAGGAAAACGAGTAGAAAGATGCCACACATCTACAAAAAAGGGTGCTAGTACCCTGATAGTAGCTTTGTCAACCAGCTGGATCCAAAATTATGTTTACCTCAGCAGGAGCTTCTGTCGTGGTACGTTCCGGGTCAGCCTGAACTCTTGGTACAGGAAAAGGTGCTCCATACTTCGGTATCACACGAGGCTGAGTCCTGTAAATAACATTTACAAATTGTAACCATTTGCTTTATATTCTCAAGTTTATCGTATATCGTCTTTGTCGAGTCTTTAAAAAATGTTTGTAACGTCTGCTTATTAAGTATTTTTGACAACTAAGCTTGAATTCACGGACGATACAGATGAAAAACATTTTTTCAGCTTACTTGGAGCCAGTATACACTATTTATCAGTGCGTCCTTAAGGTCTTACAAGAAGGTCCAAGCTCATTACGATGCATGTGTAGTCTGTATTAAATTAAAATACATCAACATTCAGAACAAGATAGGGTAATGCCATTGTATGCCGCGAATTTACATATAAAATCGAAGTACGTGATCTGTAAGAAGGTTAGATATGTACATTGCGATTTTGAGTCGCAAGGACGTTTGTAAATGTTTTCGGAGTTACATGAATAAATAAATATTAAAATTATTTAATTATTCCGTGGTTACTTAAGTCTGAATTGGGATCAAATAGGTTGCGATTTGTTAGAACAATCTTCTTGCACGAAGAGAGATTAACAAGAATATTAGAATAAAAAACATTCTTCGTTAAATATCTGAATGGATAAATGAATTAAAATTAATATTATTACGAAAATGATAAGTAAAATGGATAATTACTTCTATGTGTACGTATGTGTGCGTCTGTGGTATATTAACTCCTTAAACGGATACATTCATTTGTGAGAAACTACTTAATCGAGAATTTGTGAATTAATTTGGCTGTAATGCCAGAAAATCTGTTGTGCCGTTCCAAGTTTATTATCTCTTTTCTAATTGTTTTCAGGATTCAAAAGTTTAAGGTAATTTGTTACTTTACTTTGTACTAGTTATTTTTGTGTGTATAGATTCCATTACGTAATTCACACAACAAAAGGAATTATTGAATGAAAATCTAATATCATTTAATTTTACATTATTCATTTTTAAATTTTTTTTATTTATAATTGCTTAATTGCAGTCGTCTTATATACATCCAGGCTAATACAGATCGATATACAGCATATAAAAGGCGCGGCTATCGAACCAACGACCTGTAGCGTTGCCTAAAGCTTTCAAGCCACGGAAAACATAAATGGTCGAAATTCAATGTATATTGACAATAAAACATAAATGACAATACCTTCCTACTATTCCGATAAAAGGACGCATCAGTCTTTATTTGGCAATGGGCCTTATACATTGAAATTCTAAAGGTACATTTTACTAACCTTGTACCAAATGCTGTAGCCACTGCTGTAGCAGTAGTACCTTCATCCTTTCCTTCTTCCTGATCTTGAGGTTCATCTATATTGTTCCCTTGCTGGTTGATGTCTAGTCCACTCTGAAGTGCGTCAGCACCTTGACTGGGAGATGCGAACTCATTTTGTTGTTGAAATTGATTCTGCTGCTGTAGAAATTGACCTTGGAACTGCGGAAAGTCTTGACTAGGGTAATTTATCATTTGAGCTTGGACGTAACCAGGTTGAGGTTGGTTATTAGACTGTGGCACTAGGAATTGTTGTTGGTATATCTGGGGCTGATACGAACTCTGGTCAATGTTTTCAGCATCTTTGTAATCGGGTTGCGGCTGTAATAGAGCAGGCTGATATGGGGCAGGCTGGGGCTGAAATTGAGCAGGTTGTGGTTGAAATTGAGCAGGCTGTGGTTGAAATTGAGCTACTTGCGGTTGGAATTGACCAGGCCGTGGTTGAAATTGGGCTGGTTGAGGTTGGAATTGGACAGGTTGGGGTGTAAATTGAGCAGGTTGTTGCTGAAATTGAACAGTTTGAGCAGCGTACTGTGGTAGCGGTTGTAACTGGAATTGAGGCTGAGGTTGCTCTTGAGTCTGCATTTGTAGTTGAGGCTGGTATTGTAGTTCAAAGTTCGCTTGAGGATAGAAAGCCTGTGGTTGTGGGGGGACCTGTTCAACTTGATATTGAGGTTCCTGGTAGCTTCTAAATGCTTGCAGTTCTGGAACAGCTTGAGGTTGACCAGGTATCAATAGACTTTGTTGTTGTAGCTTCTGTTGCGCTATAATCGAAGGTAAAGCTGCAAAATGAGTTTGTGCATCAAAACCTGACAGCTGTTTTTGGGACTGAAGGGGTTGAACGTATAAGGGATCTTTAAGCTGACCAAACTGAAGGGACGTGAACTGTGGTTGTAACTGTAACTGAGCCAGTGAGCTTAAAAACAGTTCCCCTGGGTATTCTTGTATTTTTTGAGCAGTTAATTCAACTGTCACTTTTTCCTTCTTCTTAGGCGCATCAAGAGTCTCGCCTTCATTCAGACTGATTTCTGTAGTAGTAGCTACAGTAGTTTCTTCAGGTGTAGACATTTCTGTAGCAGCTGGAGTGGTTCTTGATGCAAATACAACCGGAGCTTCGGGCCTACGAAGCCTGTTGGCAGCAATATAAGCATCTAATTGCCTCTGTCTTTGAAATTCACGGTAGTTTTGTTGTTGTTGTTCATACTGAAACAAAACAAAAAAAATAAACGTTCTCCGTAGTTATTGAAACCGAATAAAATATTATTAGAATAAGGTAGGTGACAAAAACGCTGTTTAGCTTTGAGTAGCTTAAAGTCAATCTGAGCAAAAGAGAGTAAAATATGAGAGTAAAGGGAACATTGCTTATTTTTAGAAATAGGAAATGGGTTACAACAGCTTTGCTCGATCTTAGTATAATAAGAAACCAAAAAGTATGAATAGATGTTTCCTACTCAAACAGGCTAGAACGGCTTTACGAATCTATACGAAATTTAGCACAGAGATAAGTTATAGTCTGGAATAGAACATAGAATACTTTTATCTCGGCAAGTTCATGGGCGTAATTCACATTATCGCAGTAAAAGCAAGTAAGAGATATGTTAGTAATTTCTCGTCGTTATCTTAATGTGTTGGATATCAGACTTTAAGCTGACTTACAACGGAATATCTCCTTAAGATCAAAAGGTTTCATTTAAGAACACGTTGGGAGAGATCCCTACAGGAAAATGGACTCACTTTTGCAGTAATAAGCACTATCGATTAGCTATTTTAAGAAAAAACAAGAGGTGTAACAATTTTCTTTTTTTTCTCTGATTCTCTCACTCACCTGGTTCTGCTGGAGGTTCTGATTCAAATTTCTAATTGCAGCATTGAAGCCAAAACCAACATTTTGAAGTCCATTGATCGGAGAGGGTGCGAAGAAGGGCGCTTCTTCCTTCTTTGGTGGTAAACCCTGGACGGAGACATCTGCAGGTGTGTCTAGTGAAACTCCCAATCCTACACCAGGGCCTTGTGGTATTCCCACTCCTACGCCAGGTGAAACACCAACACCAAATCCTACATTAGGGGTGTTAGCTGCAATACTAGGGCCCTGTGGTATTCCCACTCCTGCGCCAGGGGAAACGCCAAAGCCAAATCCTACATTAGGGGTGTTAGCTGCAATACTAGGGCCCTGTGGTCTTCCCACTCCTGCGCCAGGGGAAACGCCAAAGCCAAATCCTACGTTAGGATTGTTAGCTGCTATACCAGGGCCCTGTGGTATTCCCACACCTATACTAGGAGAAACGCCAACGCCGAATCCCACGTTACCCCTATCATCTGAATTTCCTCGGCCCTCAGGAAAACTTGGTTGTGCGTTGGGGTTATTTGGACCTTCAGGAGGGCCATATTCCACATCAGGCGTGTTGACTGAATTACTTGGAGCTCCATATTCCACATGAGGACTGTTGGGTGGATTACGGGGGTCTACAGGCGGCAAATATTCAGCAGGCTGTTGGAAAAATGATAAAATGAGCGACGATAAACATTAATATGTCTTTTATTCCGAGTTATTCAAGTAGCAAATAGGGAAAATTTCTGTCGTTTTTAACTGTATTTATTTTAAGAATCAAACGAAGGTGTTAGTTAGTTAGGTACTTAATGAACGTTTATGTCTCTCTCTCTTTGAATCTCTGATGTTATTAGGCCAAAACGGTTTTATATATTAAATTAAAGCAAATTGTTGTTTTATTAGTTACTAAACAAAAAAATAATTAAATAACTTTAAATTAAAATTCTAGATCAATACTATTTCTAAGACTATTGTCGTGGAACTGCAGTCTACAGGATGTGCATCACTCTACAGTATTGTTTGCAAATACATGTTAAATTAAATGTATCCCTTTTACAATTGCACAGTTCCATATAAAACAGCTTTGTGTACGCGCTTGTACACAACGCACACATGCATACGTATACGTTCCAATACCACCGGGCGTATTGGCATTGTGCGTGTTAAGTACAGACGAGCACATTTTTACCCCATATTCCTCTGTCCCTTCAGCTTTTTATATTCTAGAATGTTTTGAACTTTGATATCACCTGTTGCTGAGCCTGGCCAGGTTGGGGTATCTCGAAAGCAGGTCCACTGGGCTTCCAGCCACTCTCAGGGTACGGCCCGGACTGGGGTTCCGTCACAACCCCGCTTACCAGTAACGATATCACAGCCAATAGCTCCTGGTGGAAAGTAAAAAAAAGTTAAAAACTTATGTCATGCTGCGACCAAGCTAAATTCAATGTCTTATAATTACAAAAGTCTTGTAGTTAATACGTTATATGTTTCACGAAATCTTAAAATTCATTATTTACACTGTCTGAGACAATAGTTACCAACACTTCATTATTTACTATTCTCCTTAATTAGAAATTTAATAAAAAATCAAAGATAACAATTATAATAAAAAAATTACACACAAGAAATGTTAGCTAAAACAGTAAACAAGATTCACCATTAACATTTTTACAGGGTTGAATAAAAACACAAATCAGTAAAAAAAAACAAGTATTTAACAGAGTTTTCAGCATAGTGCACTTCTGTAAAAAAAGGAATGTTAAAGATAAAAGCTATTTAATGACGTTATCGGTTGTCTTTGAGTGTTATAAGCTGTTTCAACTAAATATTCTTGGGGTACGTCTATCATGTCAATATCTATTTTTGGTTAATTCCATTTTCAGTATATCAAGTATTCGTTTAATTTAATGTTTTATCGAATCACATGTTTTATTTACCTTGGCGCACTTTAAAAATTATTGTAAAAACTCCTTCTTCCAAAAAATACGTTTTGAATATTGTCATTTTGTCTATATCTTTTAATGTGTTGCCATATAAAATACTATTTGTCTATCAGTAGAGGTGACAACCCTACTGTAATGTATGGTGACACAACACTATGGTGCAGGGTGTAACAGTGTAAAATTAAATGGTCACCTCGCCAGCGGCCACTGCCTCTAGTATTGGTTTGTTCGGACTATTTGTGTCATTTATGGGTAATTGTTTTAAATATGGATGTACCATGTTATTTTAATGCAATGTTAGGGTTGTTAAAGCTCTGGAATTAATAAAATGACCTGCTAACAAGTTTTTATTTTTCTTTTAATAAACATAGCTATTGTCAAACCAGCTCTATTTAACAATAAACTTCTTGCATTAAAAATAGATAGTTTTTGTTGTGTGTTATTGGTCATGGTCATGCAAGTTTGTGCAAGTTCAATTAGAAAAAGAAACTGTTCAACACTAATTCATCCGCTTAGCCAATATAACTTCACTTCTATTGCTGTTTCGTCTTTACCACTTCCATTTGCCTTTCGGTATATTCCTTGCCGGCAATAGGCTTGCCCCCTTGATAAAATGCGACCAATTCATAACTGTCAAAATGTGAAGGTTTACCACGACCACGCCAACTACTTCGAGAGTACAGGCTAAAGAAAACTAGTATTTGTTTATTATTTAAGAGACGGTAAGAGCTGAGGAAAAACTAAAATTACAGACCTTTGAGCTTTTATAGTCAGCTCACAGAAGGAAAAAGACTAAAGAATAATGATTTGTAAATTCATTCAAAACATTTCAGAGTATACATGTGTAAAACGTGTTTTTTAACAGAATTGATAACGAACACAACCTACAATACTGAACTTGTAGATCGGATTAAGTATTTATACAATTAATTAATAAATATTGCCACATGCCAAAGGCCTCATTAAAAAGGTCACTCTACAAAATCTTCCCGATATAATGCTCAAAAGGATTCCGTAACAGAATTAACCTTTGGGTTAATAACGGTTGGTATCAGACCCTTTCAACCCTTTACTGTCCTTGCATTAAGAAATTAAAATAGAGACAATAAGGAGACATCCCGCAAAGCCAGGGTTCTATTTAATGAATTGTATTGAGGGGTCTAGAAGACCCCAATATCTTTTAGTATTGCCACTGGTGTTATGCACTAATAATTATTAAGAAGATTTTTTTTTAAACTAGATTTTCTGTTATTAAAACGAAGTACCGCAGGCAAAAAAGTAGATATTGCTACAAAAAATATGTCTGCTAGTATGTAGGAATTCAGAAAGAATTCTCTTTGGTAGAATAAGACGGCTAAACAAGACGTTTATTTTGGTACTTCAATTAACTATGATTATTGAATACTAATAATAATATTTATTATTAATTTGATTAATTTTGATTACCGGTGGGCTGATTACGATCTTTAAAAATTGTCGGGTGTAAGGATAGAAGAGTACTTATAGCACCTAATAGAAAATAACGCGATTACACGAGCCTGGTTTATTTATAATTAATAATAAAGTAGTAATCCTAATAGCTGAAAAAGTTAAAGTTGTCGTTTTGCCACTACAAAAGTGTGTGGGTGCGATACCCATACGGAACAAAAAGTTATGAGAGCCAGTGAAATAGTTGTCCAAATACTGAGTATTCTTTGTGTCCGTTGTTTCAATCGTTGTTCAATATTTCGCGACACAAGAAACTGATATTTTTTTTGTTTAAACTATTTCAAATTCTAAATTAGTATTTTTTTTTCAAAATTAAAAAAAAACAATTATTAATTCACATAACCATAACATCCTATTTGTAAGAGTAAAAAAATGAGATCCTATCTTTTCACATCCGCACTAATTTAAAAATAGAACCTAATTCACTAACACAGTCACACACAGAGAAACACTTAACAAAAAAGAAATAAACGTGTAATCACCTTCATTTTCGTTGTATTTGATCACCAAACGGACACGCGCATTGCTTTTATAGACAATAGCAATTCAATTGATATTCGCGGCGCGCGCACCCCGGCCTCAAGTGCTAGGGCTGTTACTAATGACGGATAGAGAGGGCCCGATTACTGTACATGACATACATATAACGTGAGTACAGTATCAACCCTAAAGACGTTTTGGACATGAGGTAAAATAATAAACAAACACAGTATTTCAAGAAAAATGAGAAGAGAAACGTCGGAATAAGATTTTTTTTGAAAGAAATGTTGGAAAAATTAATTGGCAAATGGGAAAGTCCAGTGTTTTATTCACACAATGTCACAATTAACGTTAAAAGCAGCCGCAGATTTCTACCCGAATTGGATCCCCACAACTGGGATAATACCAGCCTCCAGTCAGCACTGATGTGGTACTGCTCCATTAGGGATAGAGGGGGCTCGCTATATAAGTAGGAGGTGTAGCAGATGCATCAGGGAAATAGGAAAACGAGCAGGTTTTTGCTCAAATTGTGTCAGCCCGAGTGGAAGAGGACTTCTAGCCCACAGAAGACAGTAACAGACAGCGCTAGTGGAAATTTCTACTGTCGAAACGTCACCACTGGGGTTTACTTTTTTTCACATATTTTATTACAAGTAAAGATTTTGTCTAAGTACTCTGTGAAGAAGAGTAGAGAGCACTTTTTTTAAAATTGTACATTCAGTTAGTGGTTCAAAAGACCTCGTTGCTCGTGTGTCATTTGTTTATTTCAAGGTTTTCAGCTCCAACAAGTTGTTATTGAATTTTATTTTAAGGAAATTCTTTCCTCACCGATGATTTTAACCTGTAAGGACACTATGCCTAATCTGGAACTGAAAAGGATACAGTTTAAACTGTGTCCTTATAGGACAGTCTGTGCCCGAGCCCTGCACAGGGTCACCCTCTGTATTGAATGAATAAAATGTAACTAAATCTAATTTTTACGTAACGCTGCTTCTACTACCCCTTTTTTCTCTTTGCGGAAATCCCTCTAGATACCATCCACCGACGGTTATGTCGGACTCGAACCGACTAAAAACTGGACGCCGTCTTGGGTTTTTTTTATGGAAGAGGGGGCAAACGAGCAGACGGGTCATCTGATGGAAAGTGACTACCGTAGCCCATAAACGCTGCAGGCGTCACAAGCGCGTTGCCGGCATGTTAGGAAGGATTACGCTGTTTTCTTGAAGGTCGTATCGGTGAAAAAATATTCGGTCCGGTCGGGTCCAAATAGCCTGGGAACCATGTACCCTGGGAAAGAAATCCCTGTTACTCCGACCGACCTCGAGCCTCGGCTTGTCGATAGGAGTATGGAAACAACCCTGGAGTATGGAAACAACCTGCTGGATGGCGGATGGCTTCACCTATCACCCCCAGGCCTGCGCTTACGGAGGACCTCCGTAGTCGTCTGTGGTTCCTGGCCTGATCCCGAACCTGGTGGACCGGGAGAGTTCTAATCCTCCCGCTCCGTTATCTCCTTCGCAAGCAGAACTTGCTCGCAGAGGAAGACGGTGGCGTTTCACGCGCTCTTGCTCCATACCATGACCGGAATAATGATTTCAACACCACCCAATCATTGGCTGGTAGAGAATGCCAAGGGCATTAAGTCCGCCGATGTACATAATTGCATAAAGATGTAAATAAATAAATAAAAGCGTGCCCGGCCTCGTTTGAACAAGTCGTTCCTACCACTCCTCCGGAGGACGTGGTGGATTTGGGATTTCTGGACCTTGATTTCATGACTGACTCCGACCTAATCCCCGCGCCTTCTTGCGCCTCTGATACAGAGCCGCAAGGGCTCTCGCCTTTAGCTCCCACAGTGGCGTCATAGATCTAAGAGACCCTGATGGCCAGCACTTGCTGCAAAAACGCAGTAGTACGACGTTGTTGGCCCTGAGGGTCTCCGCCAATACTAGAGCCCCATAAAGGCCCATGGACCGCAGAACCCCCGTGTAAAGTCCTCGGGTCTTACTACCCCTAAAGTTATATTTTTACCTATATTTATAGGTATTTAACTTAAATATTTATGGTATAGGTGACGATTTCGTCAGATAGAAGCAAGAAATCCGTTGAAAGTTGTCTTTAATGTACTTATATGTCACCCCGCTCTATGTACAGTTAACAAAACTAATTTAGTTTCAAAATCAAATGGTTATTCATACAGAAACATATTCATTTTCATTATACACCCACTTGTTTGAAATTTAAAATATACTGTATTTAACTGGCAAATTGTGATATTAAATCCAAGGAAATTTTCCAGAATTAAATTTACCAAAAATATCTATGAAAGTTAAACTGTAGAATGCAGTTTGTTAAGAAGATTATCTTCATCAAAGTAGCTACTAAAAGCAAACTAACTGAAAACTAATATCTGACTTGATAAAATAAAAAGAATTTGAGAAAAAAAATAAGATCTATTGTTAGGTATACGTATAATATTCTAATATTAGTAAAAGCCTGACACTTTGTACCTCACGTGGCTCTTAAGACTGATATAATTCTATCATCATCATCATTAACAGCCTTTAATAGTCCACTGTTGGATATAAGCTTCTCCTTGGAAAGTACTTTCTCTCTACTAGTAAACTCTATGTACTTTGTTAAAGACATGTTTGCGGCAATGGAAAACTATCACTACTACCTAAACTTCACGCATCTCACACAGGGCTGTCTGATCCCAAACTGGACAGAACATGTACTATGTCAACCAGACTGCTGCTAAACATAATGATATAATTCTAAATACATACATATTATAGATAAATTACACCCAGGCACAGAACAAATGATCGTGTTTATCACACAATTATTTGTTCTGGGTGGGAATCGAACCCAAGGCCTCTGGCTTAGCAAACAGTCTAGTCAAAACGGTGCTTTGCTATCCGGATTGTGTTGATAATCTTAGAGTGAAACACACAAAACCGCACATTATTTAAAGCAACATTTTTTATTTATTTATTGAAGAAAGACTCGAAAAAAATCCTCTATATTGTTCTATAGAGTATTGTTCTATATATGTGGACAACTTCAATATTATATTATTTAACAACATTTCAGAACAAAATTCTTATACAACACACAATTAATATTTGATATTTATTTTTTAATTATTTCGGAAGTGATTTTTATAGTAGTATTTTTTAACATTTAACGTCTAAAAAATTAAGTCATTGGTTTGAATTCAGCTCATTGAAACTGAATGACTAATAGCTATAACTAACTTTTTTGCTGATCTTACATACGTTGCCAAGTGATGAACCTGAAGCATGCCAA